GAAAGGAAAATTAAGCTGGATTTAAATTATTCCTCAAGCTTCTTATGTACATGGTGCTGTGTAAAAATATTTGCAGTCCTTTTCAACTCAGAAATCATTCTTCACAATCATACCCTCATGCAATTCTTCATGCTGTTGCCTATTAGTCTCCTTTCTTCTGAATAAAGCATGAATTATGCTTTTTAAAATAGATTTGTAAGCCCATAACCACGACTGCAAATATTCTTGCACAGCACCATGTACATATGAAGCTTGAGGAATAATTTAAAACCCGCTTAATTTTCCTTTCAGGAAGCATTACAGCTTGAACCATTTTTCTGTGGCCTAATTAATAAAGGAATTATTTTTAAATAATGCAGTGTCTCAGTTTTGACTGAAGGGAAATAAGATTAATATATTCTATTGCTTATCAATATGCAAACTTATATTGGTCAAAAAATTTTGATTAGAGGTTTTCAAAAACATTCTTGAGTGGACAAGTACTACTTCTTAGACTGTCTTTCCACTTGCACTCTAATTTTTGCCTTGAAAATGATGTGGAGAAATGAGGAAGGATGAAGGAGAATACATTTTTCTAAAAGGTTTCAAAAGAGAAAAAAACTCAAGAGCTTTGACCCTAATGAAAATGACTGGATTTTGGTTTTTTTTGAGAGAGTACTGATTAACAAAAAACCCCCAACTATTAAGAAGCAAAGAAGCAATGATGAAATTTACTTCAGGCATGCCACTGCATTAATTTACTGTTATTAAAATATTTTTGCCTCTTCCCTATAAAGTCAATTGTAGATGGGTTGCATTTACTCTCATCTCAGTTGGAATAGGCTTTATTTTGGTGTAAGAGTGCAGTTTTCAGTATGGTGCCTAAGAAGGCATTCAGGCAATTGCAAGTAATTGAAATTGCACAGCAGATAAAAAAGAAACAAAACTGAACAAAGTAAAAACCCCAGCTCTTCTAGATATAAAAGAGGAAAATCATTCTTTGGCAATGGGGTGGTGTAAAGAAGTAACATACAATTTTTCTAAGATTTGGGACATCAGAAGAATTCAGTAACAGAATGTTCAGTTCAGAAAAAGAACAAATATTTTTGTGCTGATCATCCTTGTTCCTGTTTGTTCTTGACTTTCCTCTTGCAGTCTAGTCTGGACTCTCAGCTCTCATTGGTACCACTTCTGGCACATTTCCACTGGTTGTTTTAGATGATGATCAGTTCTTCTCATCTTTCCTTATGAATCTTCTTCTTTTATCACTACTAAACAAAATCCTTCTGGTCACTCGGGCATTAGACATTTCTGCTCTTTGTGCCTTATCCAGTAAGAAATATCCAAATACTGCTACTTTCTTAACACAAGCTTTGGGAGCTTCTTTTGCTTTGCACATAGCCATGTCTTTCCTCTCACATTACATTGATCAATGCAGGCTGCTTTTCTTTTACACCTCTGACTCATCAGCTTTTCTCCACTTCACTCTTACCACAGCTCTTGAAGAAATCAGATCTGTTCATCTTTTTTTTCTCGTTTTTCATTGCACTCAGTTCAAGTTGTCCCTCTTCAACTGGAAGATCTCTCACAGGTCTCAGTATTTGTCCCACCTGTTCCTGTCTCTTTTGCCATTGTCCCTTCTGGGAGGATGCTTTAGAAATGTCTTTGGCTTTTGTGGGTCTCTTCACTGTTCCTTACCTCTTGGAGGAATGGTATTTACTGGTTATTTTTTTTCACAGCTGTTTTCTCTTTGTGATAGTTTCCAAAGATTCACCTTTCCATTTGTGTGCAGAATGCCTCTGAATTTTCAGGTTCAGCTGCACACTTCCCTATTATCTTTAGCCAAATAATTAAGGACATACAAAGAAGCAGTTGGTACAGATGAAAAGCATGCATTTTATTAAAAATGTTTCATTTAAGACAGTTAATAATGTATAATTTGTACTACACATATATTAAAAATAATAAACAGAGTTATGATAGACAAAAATGCATTTTAGTGTTGTCGCGTAGGTTTCACTTTCTATGCTATTTTTAATATTTAATGTTCTGAGAGAGCACTGGTAAGGGCTACATGTACAATATAGCTTGGGAACTGTAACTATATTTGTGTAACTGTTGTTGTTATTGTTCCAAGTTACGTGGTCTAGGCAGATTTTCTTTACTGCAAAGGTAATGTGAAATGTTGATGTTCCCAGTAAGTGCCTTCTTGTTAATAATTTGATCACACTTTTTTTCCTTTGTAAAAAAGAGCCTGAAGCAGTTAACACAACAGTTTTCAACTCTGTGAGGAAAAGACAAGAATAATGAATCTGCAAATGAAGTAAAATCTTGAAAAGACACTTTTAAGAAAACATACTTCTCTAAAAAGTACTATAGGACCAATATAATGGTTATTCTTGGTATAATAAGGCACACTAAGGAATACTTTATGGCAAGAGCATCAGTGTTTGCAGGCTCCTTTTTTGGAGAGAACTACATAATGCAGCAGATGTGGAGCTTTATTGTAAGCCATTCTTAGTGTAATTTATCTCTAAGGTTTATTGAGAAAGCCTACATCAGCTTTCTTCCACCCAACGAAAACTTCAGGTTTTGACTCTCTCTATGTAGTTTAACCTGTGTTTGTGAGACTATATCTACCTTTTTCATTGCAGGAGCAAGTGTTTTTTAAAAAGCCCTTAAGATAGTACATAAGAACCCTCATGTCTGTCACTGAAGCACTGAGTGATAAAAAACTGTGTGACAATATAAAAGGAAGCAATGAAAAGGAAAGAATGAAATTAACAAACCAATCAACAATAACTTCAGTTTTCACTGCATATATTGCAGAAACAAATTTTATTTTCTTAGTATGTTTTCTTAGTATTTCTTAGCAAAAAGCTGTCGTATTTTCGATCCTCTCTAATGTATACTCTTCTTCCTGTGTTTTTAGAAGAAAACAAAGCTAATACTTTTCCTCACAGTTTCAATCTGGCCTTTACATGTGATGGAATGCACTGTGGAAGAGGTCACAGCACACAGTTAATTTGTGTTTTTTAAATAAACATGCAGAGTAGCAGTGGAACAAATGAGTTTCATTAGCTCTGTTTCTAAATTTGTGTGCAAAATGACTAACTCACCTCCCATCTCACAAGAACAAGACATTGTAAATAGGTTATTATTTATTAAAAGCTGACAGCATGCTGGCTGTTGTGTGAGCAAGACTTCCTGCTGATTGTCTTTCACTGAGGGCAGGTACTGACCTCACCTATAGGGAGAAGGACTGTTTACCCAGTTTATGAGTGCAGAAGCATTTTTTTCTGCTGGTAATGGACAGTGGATTTTAAATGTGTGTTGTAGCAAAAGCAGGAAATCTTATTTCTCCAAAAGATGATCAAAATAACCCGAATGTTATGAGTTTGCACAGATGTTACCAGGCAGACCAAGTTTGTGGATGCTTCCCAGCCCTATGGAATAGAGGATTTGAAGGATTTCCGTGGCTGGCTTCCAAACCATAGTAAAGTTTTGAAAGTTCAATTAAAATGAGTGATTCTTATTTATAGATTAAAAAAAAAAAAAAAAGGAAAGAAGAAGGAGAAAGAAACGAACAAACCAAACAACCTAGTCTGTAATTAACATCGTTGTTGTGAAGACTGAGGGTTTTAGGCTGCCTGTGAGAATGTTGTAAGTAGTATCACATTGAATGCAGAACATGTCCTTAGGTTATGCAGGAGCTTACTGTATAGCAGAAATAATTCTGAACCCATTTTCTGTGGCAAGTAAGAGAGGAACAAAATTAGAAGAGTGCTTAGCTGCATGGTGAAAGTCTTGGGCATGTGGGAAGAACCACAGTCAGTGAAATCATGTGGGGTCCCACGTGTTCTTAAAACTTCATGGACACCAATGTTATCAAATGCTGGCGTATTTTTTACATAAAGATGGTGTAACAATGATGTCTTTTTTGAATTTGTATTTGAGTCCATATGTATTTTTTCATTAAAAAAATAGGGACTGATGGACAAAAGCACAGTGCAATAACTGTGAATTAAGTAAATAAAAGGACCGTATTGAGTACAGTGTTAGGTAAATCACTCATTCATACCCCATCAGACCCTGTTAGTAGCTGCTATTTATTTCCTTCACCTTAAGTTTTGCAGCAGTCCAGTTGCTATGAGCAAGTGTATGCTCAGAATATATAAATATCTCATTTTCAATTTTTTACTGTTATAAAGTTAACAAGAGAAAAAGACTTCCCTATCTGTAAAAATTATTTTTTTGGCAAATGCAATTTTTAGCTAAAATGTATGCAGAGTAAATCTCTGATTATTCATTCTGAAGGAAACTTGGTGACTCTGAGCTGTACAGGTCTATGCAATTGCCAGATCTCAGACAGTTACAGGGAATGATGGCTGAAATAGTCACATGAGTTTTACAATTTGCTGGGGATTTATTCCTCCTTATTTTGAGGAGGATACAATTACCTTTAAAATCATTGGTGCCTCAGTCTTCAGCATTCTCACCACTGCAATATGACAGAGTGAGAAAGACCTTAGACCTTGAAGAGTTTGGAAGAAAAATATGGAGGAGATAAAAGTAACTTATTTATTCACTCCATTTAACTACTCTTCCTGCCAATTTGAGAAAAACTGGGTATTACTTTAAAGCCTGTGTTAGAAGTGGTGGCAAAAATAACCTCTGTGATGTATTTATTTGTGTAATTAGATGGCTGATGTTGCAGTAACTCTGGGTGATCCCGTCCTATTCTGTTCATGATTTCTATTGTGACTGTCACAGTCTCCAGCAAATGTGCTGGAGAAGAAAAGAGTTTTAGTGAAAAGATAATAATCTTTTTGTTCTTCTTTCTTTTAACTGCATCTGATCTAAGCTAGAGGAATAGAACAGTCTGGTTTTTTTTCCACTTCACTCTTTCTTCTTTAGTTTACTCTTTATTTGAAAGGGCTGCTTGTAGATGAGTGCTAATGCCATTACCCTTGGTGGCTCAGGAGAGGCAGCCTGACGTGGGTCTCGTGTTTTTTTTACAGATGAGGATAGGCATTCACTCAGGTTCGGTGCTGGCCGGCGTGGTTGGTGTGAGAATGCCGCGCTATTGCCTCTTTGGGAACAACGTCACCCTGGCCAGCAAGTTCGAGTCAGGAAGTCACCCACGCCGCATCAACGTCAGTCCCACCACCTACCAGTAAGTCCTCTGCACCCTTTCCTATTGTTTTTGTTCCAGCCTGTTTTCAGTTCCATCCTGTAGCATGCTCTTATGCTCAACACATGTAATTCAGCAGAAAGTTGGTGAGGCATCAGGACAGAGGAAAATGGTATTGTGTGGGGATGTCTGTCTTTTGTTCACAGGTTTGTGTCAGAATGTGCAAAGAAGTCAGGCATTGGAGGCAAGGGGGCACAACAGAAAAGCCAGCCATTCCTGCTAAAAATAATATGTAACAGAAGGAATGGGAGATGTCCCCCAAAGCGACATAATTTTATGCACTATTACAGCTTTTTACTGGGGATTTAGGTTCCACCTGCTAAACACAGTTCATGAAAGAAAGCACACTCCCATTGTCTAAGAAGGAAGTCTAGTTTTGCCAGTAAGGCCAAGCTTACAAAGAGATTTAATGCTTTCTTGAAGACAGAATTTCTTATTTAGCACTGTAAAGTCACACTTGATAGAAGCATTCTCATAATGTAGGAAAAAAAGATTGAAAATGGCAAAGCGTTATCCCTAGCGTTTTGAAGAAATTATGCAAATGGAGAGAGGGCTTGATTAAATCTGGTTGTGAGGAACAGCTCCTAAATAAAAATGGTGTTCCTTATTGTTCAAATTTGACAGTTTGACTATTAGAATTTCTACTGCTTAGAGTACAGCTGATGCACTCACTTTTTTTTTGGCAGGATATCTCAATCTTCCAGTGTTCTGCATCTGAAGTAATTTTCTGAAGTAATGTTTTGAGACAGTGTGGTAAATCTGTACACAGCTGCTCAAACAACATTGCTTTTCTTTCTTTTTTTGTTTTCCTATTCAGTACTGTGAATCTCAAATCTTTTCCCCCACAGCCATCTATGTAAATAAATATTTTTAATGGGATTTCTTCATCCAAGTATTGAAGTGTCTGCTGTGCTAAAATGAATAAGTCAGAAATTAAAGTTAAAAATAATTAAACTAGTGCATAAAGTGACATTCTTCTGAAGAGCCCATTCACTTGAGATCATATTTTGAGAATGAAGCAGGTGTAACAAATTGACCAAGAGGTGGAATAACAGAATAGGGTTTGTATCATAGAGTGAACAGAAATAGATTCATACAGCTGTCTGGTAACATGCAAGAGAAAGACAATCTATTATTTTCCAAATCTATCCAGATACAATCTATTATTGTTTACAGAAAACATTTTCATTTAAATAAAAATAAATTCAATAAATATATAGGAAATTCCTGTTTGGAGCTTGGTATCATTTGAAAATAAATTGGTTTTGGGACCTTCCATACACAGCATTCTACAATGCTTGACTCTTGGCCATCCACTGTGGGATAGAAGGAACCCTCTAAAACCTTGTTTCAATAGTCACCATAATTTTGTTTACCATTTGTGCTCCAGTTACAAAAATTACACAGTAGCAGGGCTTTTGGTGTGTGGTTTGTGGTCTGGCAAAACGTGACCAATTCCCTGTGACAGGGAGCTGGACTTTTCTTGAACAGGGTTAGTTCTTATAAAGTGCCGTTCTCCAGCCTGAGATAGTCTTCAAGATACTCTGAAAGTGCAGTCCATACTTTTCAGAAAAGAGATCTTCACAAACATGGCTCAGGGGGCTTATTTCACTTGGGGCTATGGTGTTCCTTGCTCATGTTTATGTCCCTGAGAGCAGAAACTGGTGAGCTAGGCAGCTTTATGGAAATATGACTAGATACCAGCTGTGGGACCTGTGGTGCACAGAACTCTCTTCATGCTGGGCCAGAGTAACTTTCTGTGTACCAGTGCACGGTGCCAGTTGTGTTGATTTGGTTATAAGTGATACAGCACCTCCTCTGTGAGGCACAAATTTGGGGTCATTGTTGAACAACCTGATCTAGCTGAAGATATTTCTGTTCACTGCAAGAGGGTTGGACTAGAAGGGTTTTAAAGGTCCCCTCCAACCCCATTGATTCTGTGGTTCTGTGACTGTATTTTCTTTTCATCACAATGCTGATTAAAAGGCTGTTCTGAAAATTAGTTTGAGGGCCTGTGTATGGAGCTTGTTAGAAATTGGTGGGTTTGTGCTGCCCATTTTCTGACTCTTAGTACATTGTGGTGCAGAGAAGACAGCTTCTCTTTACCTGTGTCTCATCTCTGTCTAGCTGCTACTGGGCATATTGTACCATGGCAGGTCAAATGTCAGTCACCTTGGAGAGCATTCTTACTGAATCCTAGGTACTAAAACTTGAATCAGAGCTTCTCACCCTGCATATCTCTCAGGTTGCATCAAAAATGGTTTCTTTCACTTCCCTTTAATCCTAGAAATCTGGTATGAATAGGACCATTTTTTTCAGGATAGCTGAACCTTCACCTTATATTACCCTCATGTCTGTACTTACCTTGCACACAGTTATCAATGTAGACTGTTGCTTCAAAAGGGGGAGAGGGTAGAAAAGTGACTGATTACATAGTAATGCTGTAGCATAAAATTGCAAAACAATATACAACAAAATACAGAATTAGTGGTATTTTTTATCTGTGTTATTGTACTCAGTAAACAATCTGCTGTTAACATGCTGAACAAATTCAGTGCTTGATTCAGAGAACTTGCAGTGGAAGTAACAGGCTAGATGCATGGTTACAGGTGAAGGAAGTAGAAATGGAAAGAAAATATGTGTTTGAATGAGATGCAGTTATCATTCACAATGAGTGGCTAAAAGTAGTGATGATCAGGCTAGCAACAATTTTGTATTACAGGCTTGGGAAATGATGTGAAAAGATAAAATGAATATGCATGAGATGACTTCAAAAGTTGATTTCAAGCTATACCTTCTGGTATAGCCTTTCAAGCTGGAAGCTTGAAAACAGGAAAGAAGTCAAGAAATGACACTGTTGACACAGTGGCCAGAGGAGACTGCAATTACAAAATACTCAAAGGGGCAAAATTATTCAGAGTTTCTGAACATGATCTACGAAATTTAACATAATATCCTTGTGGTATCCAAATCAAAAAGTAGTGATCTGATGCATTCATATATAACTTTTCTTAAATATAATTTGTATGAGTATATATTTATTGTGTATAAATTAAATGATTCATCACAAACTGAAAACACATTTGTATTTGACTTTATATTCTATTAAATGCTTCTGCTTGATCACACTGTGCTGCTTTGCACTTTGTTAATATTGCTGTTAATATTTACACTATCTAAGAATAAGTGTTTTCCAAAGTAGATTATTTTGCAGTCAGTATGAAAACAACAGAATTTTCAATTATATGAAACCACTGGCATTTATCATCACGTGTTTGTGTCTACCATGGCCCCTGATGGAAGTTGTGGTATAAGTTTTATAAAGCATGCAGGTCCTTGAAACATGTCCAATACTTACCAGCTGTCATTTTACAGTAAAGACTATGCATCCTAAAGTGCCATCAGCATTCAAATAATTATCACACCTCAGAATGCCTATTATTGGTTACAGACACTTCCCTTCAAGGCAGTAATCTGCCTAAGTAAGAATCAGAGTTTAAAATGGTAAGTACGAGGTGTGATGTTTGTTGCTTAGCAGCAGCAGTGAGCCTGGGGCAGCCTTGCTCCAGTTACACCTACCTGGGCAGAGCTCTGCTAGGTGTGAAACAACACCTTTTACAAAGGTGGACTTCACATTTTTTGAATCTGAAACATCACTTCTGTTTGAAATACCCTGTTCTCTTGACTCAGACAGGTCTTTCGACACAAGGGTCACAGATCCCCATTTGCTTTGAATCACTAAGCGTTGTGAAATTAAATCACTGGAATAGCATTGGTAAAACTTCCAGTGAAAAATGTGGTAGCTAGAGAGGAAGATGAGCATCCCAGACTGGTCCCTGTATAAACATATAGACAGAAAAGAATAGGAAAAGAAGTTTATTTAATTCATCTACATTATCCTGAATTGAATAGAATTACCCTATTTTCCATAGTCAGGAAGAAAGCACAGTAAGATTTATGAGAATCTTCAGCGGAGGAGAGAAATTAAATTTTTTTTAGTTTTTTGTTTCAGCCTTTAATTATGATTTTTATGAGATATAATATAATATACCCACATTTGTCTTGTTTTCCTAGTAGTGTTGCAGTGTAATGGTTTGGGATTTCCAAGAGGTTATCAAAAGCAGGTAAATATAGTTCCTGTTTGTCGAGTAACTTCTGTTTAAGAATGAATTCTTTTTTTCCCTCTTCTTTCTACCTCTTGTCTTTTGCAGCCTGTATTTCTCTTGTGGTCAGTGTGCTTCTGGCACTCAGTGCTGAGTACAGATACTTTCCATTATCATACATTGGGCAATGCATCTGGGACCTGAGCTTAGGCAAAGATGAACAGCCTGTATCCCACATCTTTATCTTGATTTAGGAGAGAGGACAGCCCAGGTGTACCTCTTTATTGAGCTGGGCAAGGTTATTGTGTGTTTTAAAGGCTGCATAAATTGATTCTCAGCCTTCAAAATTGGTTAAAACCAATGTAGGTTTTTAATCATTCTTTCACAGAAAGTTCTTTCAAGAAGTTCTATGTAATTAAGAAGTTTTTCTGTACTTCCCTCTTTAGAGGGATTTTAAATTAAAATTAGGCTTTTCTTTAAACACCTTATTGATTTTTATCAAATTCTTTTTCCTGCAGGTTATATCTATTTATATGTATTACTTCTCCTACAGGTTATAGCTATCTCTACATCTATATTTTTCTGCCTTGTATGGTCAAACCAATGGGCTTGCTCTCCCAAGCAGATTATTTCAGATTTTATTTCTCAGCATCCTTTAAAAAACTGTTTCTTTTTATGCTGGTCAGTTCACCACGTATGTTTTCAAGAGATATTGGTGGACAGACAATTTAGTTTTGGACAGATTGGGAATACAATTTATTCATGGGCACAAAAAATTATTGCTAGTCTAATTTTAGAAGCATAGTCAAAATGCACTGTTTTTTCTTGGGTTTCTGCTCCCAGTGTCACCTGCCTCTGTGAGGCTGCACCCCACAGTCT